TGCGGACTGTGGAAAAACCGCATCCAATTCGCGCAGTTGCTGCGTCAGATGGCACAGAGTGGACCAATGTCACAGACAACATGGTCCAAAACTTGTCGCCACAAGAAAACGAGGACTGTGCACTCTCATGACGCTCACGCCTTAAGTTGTGTTCTGGTGGTGGTGATCACATGTTACGTTGGTAACCGAACTTAAACCAGTAGTACACGGCCCCAGCCTTGCAGTCCGAAACCTGTCGCCACAAGAAAACGAGGCCGAAACGTCAAATGTTGGGCCCGTCGTTGATAAATTAGATCGGCGGTCGCGTTTTCATTTCGTGCTTCCAGACTTTAGAGGTGTCAGGCCCGCGGCCCAGGTGCCCATGTGCTGGTGCTTTAGGACGGGTCATCACAGAGCGGGAGTGAGCGGAGAGTTTCTTGGGGCTTGTAAATGTGTTATCAACATAGTCTGCCTGTGGGCGGGCAATAACGGAGTTGGACCCAAAGTTAAGGACGTGTGACTGTTGCAATCCGATTTGTCACTGCTAGCCCTGGGGGTTATAACCGGGGGTTATGACCCTTCAGTTTGCGGCACTGCAGGTGGTTTATGTGCACTCTCTTTTCCACCTCAGGTTGCTGTATCCATTCTTCCCCTGGCGAGGGTGGAGGAAGTCCAATCACGGGTGCAGCCGGAGGAAATCTGTCATGGCATGTGGGGCATGAGCGAAGAGGATGTGGTGGGTGGTGACAGCAGGGGTGGCACGGGTGCAGCCAGAGGAAATCTGTCATGGCATGTGGGACATGAGCGAAGAGGATGTGGCGGGTGGTGACAGCAGGGGTGGCCACGGCAGTAGAGACACGTGCTGTCTATGACAGAATATTCATCTTTATTTATATTTTTGGAATAATTTCAGTTTTAAGTTTTAAGTTTTAACAGATTTTCTATTTATTGTGATTACCCGACCAAACACAGACTGAGACACACAGTTGATTTCTGAGTTTTGCTCACGGACTAAATACCTTGCTGAGTTTCCCGCTTGCTACTAAGTTCTGCCTGTCTGTGTGTGTGTGTACGCTTGCTGGACTGCATGTCTGTCTGAGTGCTGGTTGGTTTGAGTGTGTGTGTGACCAGCAAGGGCACTTGTTCGTTCGTTGGGCCCTCAGGGACGGTACTTACCTGTGGCCGTGATATTGAGGATTGCAGCAGGGGAAAAACACTCAAGTAGCAGGTAGGCCGGTACCGCACCCTGAAGAGGTAGATGTGCGGGTACTGGAGGCCGATCAGAAGAAGACAAAAGTGGCATTTTGAGAGGCCCAGTAGTTGTAGGCTAGGTCTAGGCGGGTACCAGTCCAACCAGTCTGAGCCTAGGGCCTGTACGGGCAATATCAGAGTCTGCAATGAT